TACACAACGGGACTGGATTCGTAATGGGGTTCCTGATGCGATGTCGGAATTGCTAGAGTTGAGGCGCTTGGTTGGGTAGGTTGTGAATCAAAAACTTGAAATATGTTCAGAAGACGACGATCAGGTCGAAACGATACGCCGTTGATTGAATGAGTTCCACCCAAAAACCTCTCACAAAGCAATATAAACACAACTGAGCTGAGTGTTCCTAGTCTTTTTTGCTTCTCCCTCGATGTTCTTGAAAGTTCCCCAAGCCGCTCGCTTCCCCTGTTCAGCTCTGGTGCTAAGTCGTTCATCTCATCGATTTCCCGAGCACTGAGGTGTTCCTTCTGTTGAGCGAGAGTGAGACTTTGGAAGGCAGTCCGTTCTTCATGAACATCGTTTGTCTATTTATGTCAGATTAAGCTGCGAACCGATTTTTCTACCCGAGTCGCACGGTGCCGTCAGCAAAACGGAGATGGTGTAGTTGCCGGCCGTCGACCTTCAGTCCCTATGCCTTCCGAATCTATTGCCGCATGGCGTTCTGTAGAGAGGCGCTGAAAAATTTGTGTCTCAACAGAGTCGAAGGCTTTTTTTCGAGTCGATAAATGTGAGACATAACGGCACCTTGTACTCTCGCTGCACATCGAAAGGCTTCGCTGCCGCGTGGGTCGTCGATCGTGCTGAGTCCTCTCCGAAACCCTGCTTCCTCACATGGCTGTCTTTCGTGTAGTGTCATGCTCAGGATGACTCCTGTGAAGAGTTTGTAGACTACAGACAGCAGACAGATGGGAGGATGCCAATGACATGCAACTCTCCCATCTGGCACAGCAACGAAGTTCTGCTGATTTTCCACGGGATGGATTCCTTGCATTCCAACAAGTAGCGCGTCAGGAGTCGTGCCAGGGTAATAATGAGAATCGGAGGGACATTCTTCAGGTTTCCGTAAGATCCTGTTGGCTCAAGCTGCTGTACGAGTCTTCCCGACCAGCTCACGTGTCAGACTCTCTGAGGGAGAACTTAAGGATGGATGCATCCGTCCTACTCCAAGTGGTGCGTTTTGCTGCCAAACAGTTTTGAATAGAAGTCGTGCGATTGCCCTTCGGGATGCAGTAGTTGTTCCGAGAGGCGGGTCATCCCCGTCTTACGTTTGGCTAAGTCGCTGCAAGCCTTGCGGATGCTGCGCATACTTGGAAGGACGTCACTGTGTTAGCTGTGGTTGGCAAGGGAAACATATTGTGCTATCTCTTTATAGCGACTATAGTCTCTTCCCATGCCTCTGCTGCCAGCACAAGTACTGCTGCTGTTCTCTCCTTGAGGCCTATCCTCATCGCTTCTCTGCATGGCTTCGCAGGCTCGGACGTCAGCTGGTAACTGCCTGCGGTTCGTGCGGCTCCACGTTGGCGAATCTGGTGGAGAGTTTCCAAAGATGGACCGCCTAAAGGAAGTAAACCAAATATTCCAAGATGCTACTTTCCTTTTTCTATACACCTGACTTCTGGCAACGTTACGTTGTTCCAAAGATGGAGTATTACTGCAGTTTCCCGATGAATCCAAAAAACAGTCTGCTCTATCTGATAGTAATACGCGCAAAATTTGAAGTCGCCAATAACTTCTGAGAGGACAATGCTGGGTTCTGTTTCTGGTGGTAAATGTATTTGGACACCGCCATTTGGACATGATGTTCCCTAAATCCTACTCATCTGAGTGTGAGACAGTGACCCAACTACCTCAGCAAGGGCTGGGAAGATCAGCTTTTGCCTGTCAGTAAAGTCATCGTTGATGAGGACGCCGTGCATCATCAGTTGATCATTTCGATCGGATGCTTCAGTCATGCATTTCCTATTTATATCTGGATACGGTGGTGGCACTTTCTTGTCATGTAACTTTCACGTGCATTACAGCTTTGTTTACTCTCAAAGCGCTCAGTTTCTTCCATATCACTAGACCAAAATGATGAAGAGGCCATCAGCACTTCGGCTATTTGCAGAAATCTTTTGAGACTGCGTGGTTGCGAAATTTCCGAGTCGATCATTATTGTGGATGAGCCCTGTGTTTACTATGAAAACAAATGCGACATAGGTACTGCTACCTTGCGGTCAAGACCGAATCCGGAGCTCCGTGTTCGTAAAATTACCGTCTTGGTTCTGGATAGGTCTAGTTTTAGGAACGACCAGTCACAGGCAGCAATCGATGCTGGAAGTTAGCGTGCGAAACGAACCAGTCTCCGTTCTCCAAGGCCATCCTCGACGTCAGATTACAAGCGAGTCATCCCCTGCTGGGGTTGGACTGAAGCACAATACCAAATCCTTTGTATAGCCCTAGTATTGCAGCCAGCTTTTCCCACTCTGTGAGCAACCTATATGGTACGACTGAAGAACATTGTCATTCAGTCCGCTTAGCTTCGCTGAAAGAATGTCTTACGTGTTATTATGTTGCGCTCGAGAGGCATGAACTTCCTTTGGACGTTGCCCCCCCCTATTCGATGTTTAGTGAACGTTGCAGTGAGCAAACCCCACATTCATTTTTCATTCTTCGTGCTGATCGACGACACTTGGTCAAGCTTCTTCAATCAATTTGTTCCCATTTGTCCTCAGAAAGTTCTCGTAGCAATCCGCCATCTAATGTTCAGCTCATTAGTTGTACTGCATTTGGCTGCACTGTCAACGCAAGCGGGATGTGGCTTTCCTCCCTGTGGGCGGAAAATGCATTTATCTATGCAAGTAGATGCAGAGATCGGCTCTCCGGCCTCTTGTTATATTAAAAGCACTAATTTTTCCCAAGAGAGATGTCAAAAACCCTTCAAAGTTTGGAAAGTTTGGACATAATAGTGTCCGTGCTGACACTGCAAAAAGTCATTGCCGAAAAATACTACGTACAACAAAGGAACTGATGATAATGCGGTGAATACTTCTTCAGGGTATCATCCAGTTTCTTTTTTTAATGGAATTTTTATAAGTGTTTTCTCAGCCGACGCTCAAAAGCACGTGGTAGATTTTGGGGGTCAACAACTACGTAGTGACAACGTAAAAGTTAAGTAGTGCGGATAAATTAAGAAAAATCTTACAAAATGCCCAGAATGATTTGTATGCCAACTTCAGTGCTTTTGGGCAAGGTACCCTAATCAAACCTAGCCGTAAATGCGCTGTAAACATGGATGTGCACCTCACATTACATCGGACCTGACGCCTAAACGTCTCCTCGAGGCCGGGAGGGTGAATATTGATATGGCTCTTTCTTGTTTGCACCATGTTAAGGATGTGTCGCACCTAGAATGCGAGGCAGCTAACAAGGTGCGAAGCTGCAGTCATTTAGGGTCCCTAAGCCACCCACGTGTCTGCAAAAATCAAGTGAAGAAATTTATCAAAATTTCGTCCGTGTAACCGACCATTTTCATCGGAGCTATGAGTTCTTATAGTCACACCAAATTAGTAACAGCTACGCATGGTTCTAATATTTTGAGCCTTGCATTACAACAGATCCCAAAAGTTGATGACCTAGCGACTCTTTCTCATTTAGCGCTTCTAGTCGGCGCTGCGTTACTTGTAGGGATCCGTTCAGCCCACAGAACCGCTAACAATGTAGTTCTCTATCAACGTGGAGGGAAAGTGCTGGTGACATGGAGACTGCGCGATCCTTGCTTAGCAATCCGTTTTTGGGATGCGGCGCGCAATTTTCTTCATTGAGAAGGATAGTGCCTTTTTGAATGTGGTACATCCTTGGGTGGGTTGCGGGGCCAACCGACAAGCAGTTCAACCTTTTACACTCTTATGCGAATCGATAACAGTTCACCCTCCCCAGAGGGAGGGAGGCTCGCTAGCACTGGGCTTGGGATTGACCTCCGGATCACGAGCGTTTTAAGCTCTGAAAACTTAGATAATAGTAGCCATTTAATGATGATTGTGTAGTAGCTAAATGCAGTGGTACGGATTTCCAGCGTGTAATTCTTGCGATTTTTATCATGTTTTACGCGATTCTCGAATGTTTTCCTCCTGTTACAATACTCTAGTTACGGCTGCCTCGAACTCTAGGTGCGAGACATCATTAACATGGTGCGAACAAGGAAAAGACATATAATATTAACCCTCCACAGAGGGAAGGAGGGTCTGGAATATGTGTAGGCGTCAGGCCCGATGTAGTATGGGAGTGCACCGTGTGTTACAGCGCATTTACGTCCAGCCTGGATAACAGTACCTTGCCCGTGAGTACCAAAGTTGGCATACAGTCCTGAGTGAGACTCTTGCCCGAGCGAACAGCCATGAAAAAGCATGCATGGACGGCCTCCTCTTGATGGTATTGTAGCATTATCAAATCGTTTTCCTGATGACGTTTTTCTCACTGTTAAGAATAGAACGAGTTAGTAGCCCAACAGCAGCACCGCCGGAAAGCCTTTAGAAACGAACGCTAGGTACGGTTTGTGGCAGAGCGCAGGGTGTTGCGTTATAGATCATGTAGCGTTAACGCTCTCGATCACGTGACATCTCTAGCGTGTGTTCTGGAGCGCGAAGCTGATTATCCTCTGTGCTTTAGAGCGGAACTACCCTGTCCGTCTGCACACCAAATGAACGCAAAGCCTGCCTACAAAGAGCAGAAGGGCTCTCATTTCTGCGCCGCTGTGGAAGCGATCTCGATTAAAGTCAAGCTTGGTCGCGGAATCTACGACACGTAATCCGTTGTTAGGGGAGCTGATCGTATGCAGATGCCAGTGATTGACAGAGGTGCAGTGGCAACACTGTGGGACACTGCTATCGCTTTTTGCATCGCAGTGGAGCGCGGTATCTCTATCGAACTGATCGCACAAGGATTTTTGACAAATTAATGTAGTCTTTTTATATAGCAAACTAATCCATGCTGGATTTTTAGAGCGTTCCTAATAGTCAAAACGTTCTCACATCTGATGATTATCCTGATAGTGTAGAAACCGATCATCCAATTCGCGACTTCACTCAAAAGGTATGACTCTTATTATGATTCGTGTGCAGTTTGCTTTCTATAAAACTATTCAAAGACGTATTTACTAGATGTTCTACGACGAGTTGAGTGCTCGTTTGGAAAAGTTAGTTTCAAGTGGTGAAACACCTTCGAATATAATCAATCTTTTGTCAATGGATGGTGGTGGTATACGAGGGCTGGTAATTCTCCAGGTACAAGTTTCTTTATTTTGAGCATTTCTCGTCTTACGCTCAGTCAATCAGCTGATTTCCCCTTGAATTCCACTTCCACTATAATCCACTGCTTTTTTGTACACGCGTCCAGTCGCTGTATAATAATTTTTGTTTCAAAACTGTGGGTCATCAGTGCTAGGCGGAGTACGTTAGGTTATCTATGATGCACCAAGCGCGAAAAGATGTATGATGATGTAACGAGACACCTCACCCAGCGTGGATTACATAAACGCGGCGAGGTAGCACGAGACTGGATGGAGGCGAAGCTTAGCGAACAAGGATGTCACTCGAATCAGTTGCAGAACAATCTCCTCGCGCACAACCGGGTACCACCTGAAATAGGGTCGGCGTGGATATTTTTCACCGCATTCAAGTTTCAACGGCATTAGTCTTGCTAGCTTTACATACGGACATTATAAACGTACAAGAAAAAATGTTTCCTCACTGCAGTAATCAAATAGAGCATTTCTTATGTTGTTGGTATCACAACCGCAATTCCGCAGTTTAGTATGATGCACTTTAGAAACTAATCTTAAACGGTCTACTGGGTCTATTCAAAGATTAAATTTTCCCCTACCCGAAAAACATGGGATGATATCGAATCGGTTACTTCAGTTCTGAATACTTGTACTGTTCAGCGGTTGCACTATCACTGTATTTTATAAAGCAGAATTTTGTCTGTCGGCTTGGTCTGTATGTATGTATGTATGTATGTGAGTATGTATGTATGTTTGTCTGTCTGGTCGTTATGCAAAATGCTTTACAGGATTCAACATGTAACTGAGAGGAGAAAAGGACCGTTAGATATCTAGAAACCTTTTGGTGCAGATATATCAATCCAGTGCTTTGATTGCGATAACTCCACCACATAAGACAACCACTTAACAGGGAGGTCGTTCATGATGTGAAGCGTCTTGAACGACCTGCCTGTCAGGTGGTGTCTAATCCTATCTGTCCTAAAAAAGTCTATAGAAACCGATTGCTCTTCAGCTTCTGTGGGCTCTAACTCACTTGCAATTTCGACCAGTCGCTGAGTGGAGGGTCCTTATAAAGGTACTACTGGAATCGAGGAGAAATAGTCGCGAATGGGGTCTTACTTGTGGCACGTGATTAAGAGTAAACGGCTCCTTGGGATGGTTTCTTCAACAATCGGAGCGGTGGGAACCAACAACGAACGGTTGGCTGAGTGAATAGCGTGGAGCATTTCGATCGGACAGTAAGGGTGTGGTTGATGGTTCGACTCCCTCCGGCTTGCGAGTTTTTGCATTTTTCGTGTTTCGCTGCTCCCGCTTCCATACATGTCTGTTTATGGACCTAATATTTACTACTTATAGGCACTTTTAAATAGTTCCATCAGTCGGTGCTATTCAACACTTCGAGTTTCACCTACCATTCACCGAAAATTCTTCTGCAAGTTGATCCTTATATGTCACTCTGCCCTGATCACGATTATGGCACTTATATTCAGGTGTGGTGCCATTTGTCGCCTATTTGGAGCCACATCTTCCTCCCACTGGACTCGGTATGTACACTCCTTTGAGGAACTTTCAGGGCATTCAGACGTCAAGTTCCGCCGACGCGAAAAATAAGTGTCAGAATCGTGATCAGGACTATCGATTACCCCTTTAGGCAAACTTTCGGCCGAATAATTTTTTTAACTTTCTTGAGTTGTGATGGACTATTCCGACGTGATGACGTCACGATGACGTAGAGGGGCGCCGGGTGGCCGTATCGCGGAATCGGGGCGCATAAGGTCCTTTCGTGATTGCCATAAGCCTGGGTGGCCGTGGCATACGTGGAAAAACCATCCTGTACGTTTGCCGGCCCCTAGCGACTGCTCGCTCAACGAAGATGTCGTCCTCCCCTACGAAGAGAAGAGACTCATTCGATTTTCTCCACTTTATAAAATGCACCTGAAGGAATGATGACCACTTTCTTCTTTTTTTCCATGACGTTTATCGTTGTTGGTTTTATGTTTCTGTACCACTGAATGAGAAATTTTGGTCACCAGGGAAAGTACGACAAACAGATTCACTTTTGAGCACAACCCATGCACAAACCCATGGAAGTCAAAACAAGAGTACAGACGAAACTTTGCCTGTAGGAGTAATTGATGGTCCTGATCACGATTCTTACATTTATTTCTCGCGTCGACGCAATATGGCGTTAGAATGGCCCTGAAAGTCCCTCAAAGAAGTATACATACCGAGTCCAGTAGGAGAAAGATGTGGCTCCAAAGCGGCGATAAATGGCACCACAGCTGAAAGTAAGTGCCAGATTGTAATCAGGGCACTGAATAATATATAAGGACCAACTTTCAGAAGAACTCGCCTAATGGTAGGTGAAGATCAAAGTTCTGCACCGACTCATGGGGTATGACTATTTAGAAAGTGCTTATAAATAGTGAATATTCGAGTTAAATTTCAGAACAGAAGTACAGTAACAGCACAGGTATGGAAGTGACAACAGCGAAACATAAAAAATGCAAAAACTCGCAAGCCGGGGGAGTCAAACCATCAGCCCCACCCTCACTGCCCGATGGAGAATCCTTCACGCTATCTACTCGGCCATCCGTTCGTTGTTGGTTCCCACCGCTCCGATTGTTAAAACATTCCGAGTGCCGTTCACTCTCAATCACGCGCCACAATTAGGACCGCATTCGCTACTATTTTTCTCCTCGATTCCAGTAGTACCTTCGTAACGGCCCTCCACTCAACAACTCGTCAAAACTGCAAGTGACTCACAAGGGAGGTCATTCAGGGCGTGGTGAGCTTTTTCAAAATGGTCTTGTGCATATTGTAGGGGCACATACGAGGACCACAAAACTGAGGTTCGTTTTCGCTGCGCGTTTCTACGAATAAAAAGAAACGTAAAAAATAGGTCGATGGTTCGGATCCCACCGAGGACAAAATTTGGCTATTCTACAGTTTTTCATTTTTTGGATCCATGTTTGTCTAAGTAATTGTTCCTAACAAAAACATTCACGATAAACTAAACAATCCCACTTTTTATGGAGTGAAACTGCTTTTTTCGTTTCGAATTCGTTGTATGCAGACTCAGCTCTTCGACGCTATGCGCGGTGGTGCCAGATGGACTGGGAACCGAAAATAAAGTCCAGTGAATCGGTGCAGCAGGACATGGTCGATTACCCTAAGGAGCAAGTTTGAGCAAAAAAAATTTTTGGCTTTTTTCGGGTTGTACGGTGACCATTTGGTCGGCAGTGTGAGTGGAGTCTCACATCTTAAAATTCTATGTCAACAGCGATGGCGTATCGTTGACGCTTACGGACCCCCGGATCAACCTCAAACATAGCAAACCCAAGAAAGGCCAAAACAATTTGTTTCGAACCGAAAAATTCGTTTTTACGTGGTTAATCAGTGGCTTCTGATCACAAATATATAGACACCTATTCTTCGGCGTCACGCAGTTCGGAGACAGAGTAAGGCGGTGAGCGCGTTCCCTATATTATGCTGTACATAACGAATTCAGTGGAAAAGAAGATGTAGGCCCCAAATTGTCTAAATTGACAACCACATGCGATTTACTAAATTCGCAATGCAGAATCCACTGTATAGCCTACGCAGGATACGTCCAGCAACAATCCTTGTTCAATGATGCGCTGAAAATTGGAATAGTTGGGTAGCACTGACTCATGAGGTACAACTACTCAGAATGTGGCCGCATAAATGGCAAATATCGCCAGTGATATTCATGCGCGGACACTAGTGGAAGCGAGAAAGAGCGAAACTGAAAAATGCAAAAAGCCGCGACGCAAGGGAGCCGAACCATCAACCCACCCTCACTGTCCGATTGCGAAACCTTCACTCTATCCGCTAGGCCATCCGATGCTCAGCAGTGCTAGCGCTCGATTATCGTTGATGAACCATTGCAAGAAAGCCGTTCACCCTTGAGCAACGTGACCCAAGTTGGAAGCTCACTTGCGGCGATTTTTCGCTTCGATTGAAGATAGCCCGTTATAAAGACCCCCCACTCAGCAACTGGTCAAAGTTGCAAGTGACGCTACGCCGTATAGAGGCCCAGAGTGAAGCAGATTCCAAAAGATTTCTTTTCACTCGTTTGTTTACCTTTCCTGGAAGCGCGCAGCGAAAATAAAGCACAGCTTTCGGGTCCTGGCACGAGCCCCTACAATATGCAAAGAACCGTTTTTGAAAAGCTCACCACGCCCTGAACGACCTCCCTTGTCAGAGCTCATAGAAGCTCCAGAGCAGTCGGTTTGGTACTCCATGCACGAGACCCCATATCATGCAAAAAACCGTTTTAGAAACGCGCTTCACTTCCTGAACGACCTCCCTGGTTAGTGCACCCCGAGCCATTGCAAGAGCTGCTCGCGTGGCAGCTGGACGTGAACATGTGCGGTGAAACAGGATAGGGAAAGGCAGAGGTTATGGGGGCACGGAAAATAAGGTAGGGCGGAGGCCGGGGCGAAGGAGTGAGGTGAGGGAAGTGAGGTTAATGGGCTACTCGTGGCAGCTGGACGTGTGTGCAGTGGGAGCGCGAGGGAAGTGCGGTTGATGGGAGGTGCGATGTTGAGGGGGGGGGGGCGTGGAACGCGCTTCTACAGAAGCACACTACAACAGTAGAAACAGGAGCATTAGTGAAAGCGACACTCTTCCCTGTTCTCAATGAGTCCTGCGCTTACGACCTCCCCCCTGCTTGTGGTCAAATACGACCTCCCCTGTGTGATTTCCACTCCGACGGCGTGCCCTGGAAGGAGGCAGTCCGTTTCTCATGAACATCGTTTTTGTTAGATACGGCAACACTGGCGCTGGCTGATTTGAACACTACACAAGCGTCATGTTCAAATCAGCCAACATTTCCTCTGCTGGCTCGATGCTCTGAGCAATATTCGCAGCAATGAAGAACTCGTGTAGTTTTCGGTATTCGACCTTTCTAATTTGACCAAAAAACCTTGCGACAGTTCGTTCAGGATGTTTCGGCTCTTGATTACTGGTTACTATTCCAGAGGGTACCACCACCCT